CTCAGGACTACAGCAACACGATCAGCCATGACTCTGGATCCCGGCGTATATAGAAACCAAAAAGAAATTTGGGGAAGCTGGGTTATTCGGAACATGAGAGTACACAGGTATAGACAGAGAGAAGGAAGAAGTAAGGTGTCCCCCGACAAACTAAGCCTATAGCAGCAAAACTAGGGGCTGAGTCTAATCAGCCCTAACTATAAGCTTTATCAAAAAGGAAGGTCTTAAGCGCACTCTTAAAAACGGACAGGGTGTCTGCCGTCCGAACACAAACTGGAAGCTGATTCCACAAATGTGAAGCTTGATAAGAAAAGGCTCTGGCTCCCATTGTACTTTTAGAGACTCTAGGAACAACCAACAACCCTGCATTCTTGGAACGCAATGTCCTAGTAGGACAGTAGGGTATAATGAGTTCTTTAAGGTAAGATGGCGCCTGCCCATTAAGGGCTTTGTAGGCGAGAAGAAGAATTTTAAATTCTATCCTGTGTTCTATAGGGAGCCAGTGTAAGGCAGCCAGAACAGGAGTAATGTGGTAGCACTGGAGTGAATGACAAAGTGGACTCCTTGATCCAGCCCCAGAATGGAGATAATGAGAGTACACTGTATCTTGGCAGCGTGTCGGCCCCCCCCTCGCTGTCAGACCTGTCAACAGAAGCTCCAGCAGCTCCATGTCGGATCAAGGCTCAGCGCGGAACCAGCTGACGGCAACACAACATGACTGTGCACCGTGCTGTCAACCGTGGGGGGGGGGGTTTGGTTGAAATGGTCGCAGCTGTTTAGGTGTTCCCTTCCTCCCGATATGAGAGGACAGGATAGTGCAGGATCAGGCCTCGTGCCTCTGTGTCAAACTTCTTACATCTACATTATCTTTGTGATGTGCCTTCAGCAATGACCACATCTGTCCAGATATGGAAGAGGGACTCAGTGTTGGAATACTGTTTAAGTAAAAGCCCTGCATTTTAAATTGTACTGAAGTAAAAGTACAACAATATTAGCATCCAAATATACTTAAAGTAACAAAACTAAAGAAGAAGAATTTGAGGATGAAACTCTCTTTATTGGTCACACATATATGCACACTGCACACACAGTGCAATTTGTTCTCTGCTTTATACCCATCCTAGTACTAGGACTAGTGGGGAGTGAGGGGGGTTGTCCGGTGCCTTGCTCAAGGGCACCACGGCAGGGCCCAGGAGGTGAGCTGGGACCTCTCCAAGTACCAGTCCACACTCCATATGTAGGTCTGTTCGGGGACTTGAACCCTACAGCTCACAGTCCTAGCCCCTACTGACTGAGCCACTGCCAGACAAAAAAATGTGTATCTGATTAATATTTTACTTTTATTATATATGTCTGTATGTATATCTCTGTAAAGACTTAACCAGGTTCCACCGAGATTTGAACTCCGATCACTGGATTCAAAGTCCAGAATGCTGACCATTACACCATGGAACCTTACAAAAGTAGTGTCATGCAGAATGACTGATTTTCTACCATGTATTACAGACTACAGGTGAATTATGGCCTATGGCTAACTCTTTATTTGGTGTTTTATTTGCAGTATCTGTATCAAAACATCAATGACTGATCATAAAATAACTGTATTCCTTATCTTAATCGCTGTAAACCTGACCTGAGAGCCCGCTGTAACCTGGCGGGGCCTCAAAGTTATTACATCAGTAGAAGTGATGGAAATAATGAAGAACATATACTCAAGTACTGCACTGAAGAATCATTTTTGTGAGGTGTGTAGTATTCCACTACATTTTGGATGCCAATATTGTATTTTTATTGCACTTCCTTTATCTGACAGCTTTAGTTAAGTTATTGCGTCAGATTATAATACAAAATATAATAAACTAATCAGAACACATTAACATATGTCATGATATCCAGCAGCAGTATATAAAGTAATGTAAATGAGCTCCACCTTTGTGATGAACATATTACTGCATCAATAATCAGAAACAGTCAATTAATATATGATGCTTAATGAGGACTTTTACTTTGTAATTAAGTATATTTTGATGCAAATATGTTTTTATTTTTACTTAAAGGTCCCCTATTATGCAAAATGCACTTTTTGATGTCTTTTATACATAAATATGTGTCCCCGGTGTCAGGGAACTCACAAAGTGTCAGAAAATAAAACCCTCTCTCTTTTCCTCCGTACCCAAATCTCTAAAAATGGGGGAACAACGGAGCTGATCCAGATTTGCTGCCGATATGACGTAATATCTGAAATGTGGGCTGGCTTTACACCCACGGCCATATCAGAAACGTTGCTATCAGGAACAATGCGCAACGTGTTTGGACGTAATATGGTCTTTTTTTACATTAGCAAGCACCGCTAACACTCAGAGCTAACCTGTACTGGAGAGAATATGTGTAAAAAAGCCAGATATAAAAGGTACTCCCACAAGAGAGAAAAGCATTTGAGCTCCATACTGTTTCAGAAATAATCCTTGATGTGGTTTGGAAGAATAATACAATAATATGGCATCTTATCACGGCAGCATTTAGCTGGGAATCTGCTTCTCTCTGCTGTAACCCTTCTCTCTGCAGCTCTGCTGCATGTGTGCCCCAAAGGGGGCGTGGCCCCTTAGCTACAGACCCAGAATCAGCACTTCTCTAACAGGGCTGAAATAGAGGTGTATGAGGCATGGCTAGAATGGGTGATCTGTTTGGTATTTTGAGCAAAAGACTTCAAAGACATGTTTTGTATAGATATGGCCCTATAATACATTGTTCAAATATAGCATAATAGGTGAGCTTTAAGTAAGATTTTGAGACCTATGTTTTTTACAATTTGGCATTGCTGCTCTTCCTTAAGATTAAGGCGCCGTTTACACGAGGAGAAAACTGCTTGTATCGTATAGCCCTATTATTTACACGAGGCCGATAGAAACTGACCCCACAAACGATAACGGGTCCCAAGGTGGATAGATTTGCAAACGAAACGCTCTGGGGGGTCAACCGAGTCCGTGTAATCACCTCTATACGAATATTTCCTGAAAAAATAGCGATAGCCCCACCTCTCCTGCTCACTGCTGTAGCAACTATCAAAAATAGTTAATTAAACGCACAAGGGGTTCTTGAATGAAATAATATTATAAAAGGCAAACCAGAATTGTTAACGCCCAATATACTCCTTAAACAAAATAAACAGAGTCAGATTTCATGCATTGATCCATTATATTGACAAAGGAGCGATCTCACCCGGTGTTTGTAGAGAATATCTCTCTTTCTGAGCCGTCCTCTCCACGGAGACGTGCTTCTTGGTCGGTCGATGCAATATCCACAGATTCGGTTTCTTTCAGTTAACTTCCCCGTTGCATTTATCCATATGCTGAGGAAATGACTATATCCCGCTGAATACCAGCAATCGCCACACACACTTCCTCCTGTCAGTAGCTACTGCTAGTGCTACTGCTACTGACCATGCTACAGATATTAGTGCAACATCTACAGCTCCTCTACCACAACCATCAGCAACAAGTGGACATGGAGAATTACATGAACTACATGTTGCTAAATACACCGCGGGGCATAAACAGAAGGGTAGCCATGGCAACATTGCGGCGGGGCTGCTCGGGCTGCTCTTCTTCGCTGCTTTTGGTGTATTTTGGCGGAAGTTACAGCGCCACTTACAGTCCCAGCATATGTACTACAGTGTTTCCAGCGGCCTCGTTTGAACAGACACGTTAAATGAAACAAATGCATGTGAACGGAAGACTTTTTTGAATACGCATACTGTGCATAAACGCAAACGTTCCCGTGTGAGTGGGGCCTTAGTTCTGTACTTCTTCCATCACTACCCGTCAGGGATAGTGCTACTGAAAGTGGAAAGTCCCTGTTACATTACAGACCATTAACACTCATATCAGTGGGATCATCAGGGGGCGTTTAAACCACAGGGAGGATTGAAGTGATCTGTTGATGTTTCTTTAATCCTACTAACCATGAGAAATAACATGTGTCTGTCAGAGTTTAACAAACCTATCCCAATGAGCTGTTGTCTTCTATTGGGTAATAAACCGACATTCCTCCATCTCCCCCGCATGCCTCCTAAAAGAGCAGCTGATGCTTCAGATGGGTGGCATTAGAGCTAATGTGTTTCTTTACAAGGCCACGCTTCTGCAAACGTCTTGTACACATCCAGATCAGCTGCAAAGGAAATAGATTTGTCTCTCAATGTTCTGTTTACCACATGTCTGTTTCTCTGTATATTTAGAACACCAAGTACTGCTCTGAGTGTTTACATCCTGTGCAAACACAGAGAATCCCTTAACTTCCCACTTTTAATAGTCAGGATCACATTTTGCTTGCATTTAAATTTGAATTAAAGCTGCATAAATGTATTTATTTATACTAAAACTGGATGTGTAGTGTGTTGTTCATGCTAACCCACTCATTTTATTTCAGCCCTCAGGCCTTCAACAAGATCTCAAAGAAGGCCCAGGGCCAAAAAACACCAATCTTGCTAGATCTTATAAATCTTTAAAAAGGCCTGAGGGCCAGAATGCCTCATCAATGTTTGGTGTGCATTACTAAATAGTATTTTGTATTTTGTAGTTATGTCTCAGCACGTTTTAGTGTTGTATCTCAGAGTTTACAGCCCCAAAAAGCAGATTAGCCATCTGTACTGTACACTTGCTGTCAAGACTCAAACAGCAAACTGTCAAAATAATATCATTAAGTATTTACATATAGGCCAGAAACATCCCAAATGAATTCATATTTTGCTCAGTAGCTGCTGCAGATGACTAATTAGCAGTTTGTTCACTAACAATTCACCTTTACAGTGTGATAATGTGTCAGTGGTGTGTCCAAAGATTGTGGTACACACTCATGATTCCATATAATAATCACCTTTACACCCTGTCCTGCCTCTTCACGTAAAAGAAATGCATTCAAAATCCGACCTCTGACCTGTTGTTGGCGTAGGACCTGTATCATGTTCTACACCCAGCATTAATGTGATGTTGTTCTGTCTGCAGGTCACACCCCCCCCCCTGCCCTCTGGTGGTCAAGATGGGCCACGCTTACGCTGGAATGGGAAAGGTGAGTGCCTATTTTGGAGCCAAAAACACTCACACACATCCAATAGTTCTTTAATCTCCATCAGAACACACAGTTCAAACCCCAGTCTTTACAATGTACCCTAAACCTCAACATTAGCTGTTATTCCTTATGTCCATTTCGCTTCATATTCAAAAGACTTATAGCAGATCAATCTGCTTCTTTGGCAAGAAAGCGATATATTATATTTCCTGTTCCTTTAAGCACTTGGGATGCGAGCAGACTTTTTAAACTCGTTATGAAAAGAGTCTGCGGCAACTACTGACATTTTCAGACAAGTCTACAAATTCAGATTTCCACCCTCAGCAGCTCAGATGACAGGCTCACACTCAGATTTGTCTAGATTCCAGTCATGCAAATCAAACATGTGATATTATCACCACGGCTTTGACTGGTCTGCGGTTCAAAAAGCAGGCGAGACATTGGAAAACCTAAACCTGTTTGTTCTAGTTTCCACAGACTGGAGCACATCTTTAAAATCAGTCATGATGGCCGAATCACAGCTTCAGGATCAGTGTGGGCTGCTGGTTAACTCTCACTGAGAGGATATGATATCTGATGATACAGAGGCTGAGGAGCACAGACACACCACTGATAAGGAGAACAATCCACAACCGGTTTTACTTTTGATGTTTTTTCATGCACATTTGAAAGATTGCACGTTATAACATGATTGCTGCAAGAATGCTGTCTATCATCTCAGTTGATTACATAATAAGAAGAGAACAGTGTGGATGATTTGTTTCCAAAAATGGGTTCAGCTTCATCACGTTAATTTATGATCCACAACACGCATTTTCCTCAGTGTCTCTCCCTCCACGTCTTCTGATTCTCAGAGGGAGACACGTACTATATGTCTGTCCCTCGTCTGTCTGCATGGGCTTGGTTTCCTGTTCAGAAGCCAGACATGCTATAGAATTTCCCCCCAGGCCCGGCGGGACTTGGCAGGACCTGGTGGAGCAGGACCTCGTTTAACCCTCATACCTCACAGAGCTATGAGAACGGACAGCACCATGTGGGAGGGGGGGGGTCATCGCTGCTTCTTTGCTTTTGACAAAAACTTGTAATGCTTATAGTGAGTTATTCAAAGGAAATGAATTAGCATTTCTACTCTGCTATTTCCACACTAGACCTCACATATACAGTATAACCAGGGTTGGAAGGGTTACTTTAAAAATGTATTCTGTTATAATTACTAATTACCTATTCAAAATGTTATCAGTAACCTGATTTATTTCCGTTATAAATGCAATGTAAATAAATACAAGAGCAAAGAAATATCAATAAAACTAATTAAGTGTATTAGGTAAGACAACAGAACAATGTGACCTTAGAAAAGAAGAAACCATTATTTTATTGATAGGAAGATCTGCCTTTCATGAAGCATATTCAGGCAGCAGCCTATACACCAACACTGAAACACATGAGCACATACTACAGTTTAAAAAATAAAATCTGAGCTGACAGAAAATGCTCCGTTTTAGTTTAATACACACAGTTAAGCTCACACACACTATTTTATGAACATATAGGTTCACCTGCTGAATTAAAAACAGAATAAATTAAGCAAAGAAAGTGAAAACCATAAAGCAGATTCAGGCAGTAGGCGTATAGATTCACACTTAAAGTATTAACCTACAGAACAGTACAGCGCACAGAGAAGAGATAACAACAAACACTATATGCTATTTTCAGGTTTTTAGTGACACTTTAATCCTGCTAGTAACCCCCAATGTTTTGATGTCAATGTAATGGAATACAGTTACTTTCTTGCTGTATCCTGATTACATAATTACATACAGGTAATCCGTTATCCCCCCAAGCCTATATATATTATTATGATCTTAAAAGTTCTATAGCATAAAAATCTTAATCATTACCATTTTAAATGTCATCATTATAATAATTAAAGCAAAACTTTTGAACTCAAATAAATGATAATACAAATGTATATTTTAAATATAAAGTAATACAACACACCCTCCCACATTTTGATATACAGTTACAGGTTTTACTGCTACAGCCATACAGGGTTGGATATGACGAAGCAGCAACCATGAGGTGTTGCCAAAAACTGCAATTCATCAAATCTTAAGCACTGTAATTCTCTCCGGTTAGTCCACCAGCAGATGACAAACACCCACCTCTCCGCCTCTTCCAAGGAACGAGGGGACCGTGCGGCAGAGTTTCAGTTAGGTTTTCTTTCGCCGGTCAAGATGTCCGTTAAAGTTGAAATCTTCCGGACAAAATTAGAAAAGTGCCGGTCAAAGGTCTTCTTTGTTATTTATTGAGCTTTAAAACAAATGAATAATGACTCTATATAATAAAACACGGAGGACGGAGATCTATTTTTCTCCCCCTCTTCTGACTTGATCAGAGCACGCTATCCTCTCCTGCAGGGGGGCGTGGTCAGCTGCAGCTCACAGAATCAGCCCCCTGCAAAAACAGGGCTGGAGAACAGCAAATAGAGCGAAATGAGGCATGGCTAAAATGCATGATCTCTTTGGTCTTTTGAAAACAGAAACGTATAAATATACCTTACTGTATATAGGTATGGCCCTACAATATATCATTTAAATATAGCATGATAGGTGTCCTTTAAATGTAACTAGGGGTGTGAACACTTTTAGTGACATATGTTGCCGTCCATGGATGTATAATGAGACCTGGATACAGCGTTGGAGTCGGACCCCCGTTCTTTCCTATAAAAGTCACTAAAAGCACATGAAGCCAAAAATGGACTGACATTCGTAAAGTGCCTGGATGATCCGGGTTCTTGGCCCAAAGAACTCTTGAGTTTTCCTTAAATTCCTAATACGGGCTATAAAAGTACAGTTTTTATGTTTCACACTAAAATAATAGTCATTATTAAATACAGCTTCTCTATAGCACTTTCAGTAGAAGAGTACTTTAACCCATTTTTCTCATTACGTGAGTTTAAACCACGTAAGCGTCTGCACACGGACCTGTTTTTCCACCAGGCGCTGTTTCACCTTTCAGCTATTTACTTTCTGTTTACATCGTTATGGTTTGTTTGGCTTGTTTGGGAATTGCGTGATTCTTTAGAGCCATTATGAGCAGTGTGAGTCACTTCCCTTTAAACAGTGCACTCTGTTAACTCAGCCTCATGCTTAAGTCTCTGTTAGCTACACTCACAGTGCAAAAACTGTTAGATGGAAAAGTATGATGACTTAATAATAATTATGATAGACAACAGGGGTGTCACAATATACTGCATTTTAAATGTGGATATTTAAAAGATAATGAGTAGCATGTTATTAACATACTATGGAAGAGGATAAGTGCCAAATGTGAAATTTGATTTGAGATCTTTAATCTCAGAATTCAGATTTTTATCTCAGAATTATTTTTCTCAGAATATATTAAAGTTAGAATACTGAAAAACGTTTCACAAGTGGAAGAGTATAGCTCTTCTGTAATTCTGTAAATAATACAGCTCCTCTTAAATCGTGTAAGTGTATTTCAAGGTTCAAGGTTCTTTATTTGTCAAACGAACATAGCTACAGTGTAGTTATGTCGCTGAAACACAGATAAACTGAAAAATATAGTGCAAGTAAATAGTAAATAGTAAATACAGTACATTTACATTTTCATTCATTTAACAAAGTGACACATTCATTTGACTAAAGGAAAAACATTTTTAAATGTAATAGTGAGATAATTTTGTTATGGTAAATTGTTACAGCCATGATTATCGTGGAGTGAAAATCTGATACCGTTGTAAAGCCATGACTCTACAGTCCGCGCTGGTGTTTCATCAGTCTTTCACCACACAGGTTGTGTGCAGGACATGGGGATTTTTAGTGGCATTTAAAGTACATTTTGGTTATTACTCTTTTTTGGCTCTGTAATACTGTTACACTGCATGTTACCACGTCACATAATAAAGAGATTGTTAAATTATTATTCAAAGACAACCGTGTTTACTATGTTAATGCTGTACTCTCATCTGACACTTTGAGAGATGAAAGATATTTAATAGTGTGCCGTCTGAGCTCACTTGACAATTTAATGAGTTTAGTTGCAGTGGAACAGCTTTTATGTGGGTTCCATCAATGTTTGTTCTTGTCACCCATTAAAGGGACACCCCTGTTTATTGGACCACACTAACCATCACAGTCACCCTCTCCTCTATTAAACATTTAAAAAAAGACTTTGTTTTGGGACCGTTCACACTCTTACTCAGTTTGGCGTTAATTGTTTTCCTACTATGTTTTCTTGTTCAGCTTTTAGTGAGGGTTCATTTATCAATGCTCCAAGGCATTATTTTCGTGTGAAAGAGCACTAAACCATTTTAAACACATCATTGAACTTTTTCCTAAGACTTCACACTTGTCACTTTGTAGATCAAAATGTCTTAATTTCCATTTGTTCTTTCCATTCCATGCTTTATTGTTCAGTGATACACAGTGTGATTTTAACCTAATTTAAGTTAGTAGTCATTTTTTTGTGTGTCAAGCAATGATAGCAGACTTTGAACCTTTGGACTGCTACTTTTATCCTCATATTCTATCATGCAGTGTACTTGTCTTTGGTATGGACATACTGTATCTTGCTATATATTAGCAATTTACACAACTAGAAAGGTAATGAAGCGTAGTTGTACGGTGGCTGACAGGTGCAAATTTGTTCCAATGCCACCAAACATTTCCACACAATGCAGATATAAAAAACAAATGTGCCAAAACAAATGAAGAAACATCTTCACCAACTTGCACAGCTTTTATTAAATTATGCATATACTTAATGCTGCATATACTAAATTGTGCCAGAAGTTCAAAACACAATAGATACCAGGGGACACTCAAAGTTCCTCACACAGCTGGGACCGGAGCGCTTGGTGACGGTGACGCTTGGGGATGATACAGTTCCCCAACTGTGTCTGTTTGAAAAGACTATGTTAGCTACAGTAGCTAGCTTAAAGCAGATCTGCAATTATACCGGAAGGAATGATGTGATCACATTTTTAAAATAAGCCGATATTCATATTCTGTACAAACTGTAAAGTCCACTGCGACAAATGTCAAATGTGTGATATTGGGCTATATAAATACACTTTGATTGATTGATACAATATTTGAGGTAAGTTTCCAACAACAGAGACAGTTGTCTAACTTTATTAGACTCAGATGTGTAAATACACATCCGAGTTGACAAATATGACATGTGGGGTACCTCAAGGCTCCATCTTGGGGCCTCTTCTTTTTAACATCTACATGCTACCACTGGCTCAGATAATGAAAAACAACAAAATAAGTTACCATAGCTATGCGGATGACACTCAAATTTACATAACCATTTCAACAGGAGACTATTCTCCAATTAAAACACTGAGTAAGTGCATTGAACAAATCAATGAGTGGATGTGTCAGAACTTTCTCCAATTAAACAAAGATAAAACTGAGGTAATGGTTTTTGGAGCCAAGGCAGAACGTATAAAAATTAGCGCTGAGCTTCAGTCTGCAATGTTCAAAACAACAGATAAAGCCAGAACTCTAGGTATAGTCATGGACTCTGACCTGAGTTTCAACAGTCACATTAAAACAGTTACTAAATCAGCCTATTATCACCTAAAGAATATATCCAGGATTAAAAGACTAATGTCACAGCAGGATTTGGAAAAACTTGTCCATGCTTTTATCTTCAGTAGACTCGACTACTGTAATGGTGTCTTTACAGGTCTCACTAAAAGATCTATTAGAAAGCTGCAGCTAATTCAGAACGCCGCTGCTCGAGTCCTCACTAACACTAAGAAAGTGGATCACATCACTCCTGTTCTGAAGTCTTTACACTGGCTTCCTGTGTGTCAAAGAATATATTTCAAAATATTGTTGCTGGTTTATAAAGCTTTGAATGGTTTAGGCCCAAAACACATTTCTGACCTCCTGCTAAATTATGAACCATCCAGTACTCTCAGGTCTTCAGGGACTGGTCAGCTTTCTGTCCCCAGAGTCAGAACTAAACATGGTAAAGCAGCGTTCAGTTATTATGCTCCAAATATCTGGAACAAACTCCCAGAAACTACTTTTAAATCCAGGCTGAAGACTTTTCTTTTTGCCGCTGCTTTTAAATGAACTATTCACATCTTAAACTGCACTGTAACTTTTATCCATGTATTTCTTTCTTTTAATGTTTATTTTATTATCTTTGCTTTTCATATTTGTAAAGCACTTTGAATTACCTTGTGTTGAAATGTGTTATTTAAATAAACTTGCCTGGCCTTGCCTTGCCTTTATAATCCTGAACTAAAGCGCTCCGGTCCCAGCTGTGTGCACGTTGTGTTTTGACCTTCTTGCACGTATTTTGGCACATTTGTTTTTTATATTTGCATCTGAAGCTGCAGCGTGTTTCTTGTGAGTGTTTTGGGTTGTTTTAGCATGTTTGCACACTGGCCACCGTAATCATCAGACAACCACAAATACATTTATACTAAACTTTAGAGTGAGTTGATGACCTTTAAACACGCTAAGTTCACTTCAACTTTAGTAAAGCAAAACAGGGTGACAGGTTGAAACCTCAGAGGGATACTCTGTTTCCTGGTTCCTCTATCTGGTTTCTCTTTTTCATGATCTGTTTCCACCACAGTGTAGCACTGGGATAAAACCAGTGAGCGTGGTGGTGATGAGTGAATGGAAGCTCTGGACTGTATCATTATGCATCTTAGATATGGAGTTCTGACAGTGTGCCATACATAAAGCTGATGAATGAGTAGGTCTGCAAAGAAGCCCCTCTTTCCATGACATGATGGAATATATCTCACAAATCTGTGCATCAACAAAGACAAAGAAAAGAGCATCGCCTACAGAGATATCACCCAGTAAAAAGGGGAAGACATCAGAACCAATGATAGGGGGAGAAATAAATAAATGAGGGTATTGGAGGCTACTACTCAGGAGAAACGAGTTGTTTCCGTCCCAGGTATTAGTGTCACACCTCATTGTTACATAGTTATCTAAAAGGTTATGGTGAAAATCACCTTTGGGTTTTATTTAATGGCCGTGTTTTGTGTTCCCATAGCGTCATTTCCCCCCCGTCTGTGTGTACAGTGCACAGTGTAATCACTCACTGGTGTGAGGTGACGTAGTTCAAAGCGGCCCCTGGCAATATTTCCATCCAGGGACCCTCCATCATCCCAGCAGTGCACAAGTGTGAAATTCTTGTGGGATTCAAGTGGCCACCACCAGCTATGACGGAAGGTTGTTTAATTAGCCGCTCACTAACATGGGGGGGGGGTCTCTCCCACAGATCAAAGTGGAGACCCCGCAGGACTTCCAGGATATCACCAGTGTTGTGGCTCTGGCAGGGACCTACGCCACCACCGAGCCCTTCGTCCAGTCCAAGTACGACATCCGCATCCAGAAGATCGGAAACAACTACAAGGCCTACATGTAAGAAGTGTCGCCCCCCTCCCCCCCTGACTTTATGTAGGCTCAATAACCAGATATTAACTGATACCATTACAGATACCTTAAGCTGCCTATAGCGTGAATACTTTAATTTGTTTAATGATAAACCCCTTCCATAGTTATGCAGACAATGTATTGTGTGCTGTTAAGTCACACTTACACATTTGCAGTATGTGTCTATTTCAGATTTGAAACTGTAGAAATGTATTTTTCAGCAATAGAAAATCATCACAAATTCAGATCTTTATTTGACTTACTTCTCATATGAATACGATTTTCATTCACTTTGAACACATGTATTTGACAGTTATGAGGTTGGGTTTCATTACCTTTCTTGGTAGCAAAGTAAAGTAGTAATGCAGCTGGTGCCTGCATGTGAATCAGGCCAGTCTTAAAAATCAAAGTAACAGTAAAAAGAGGCAATATGCAGCCATGGCTGATACTGATGTAATGATTTGTGTGTGCTTTCCCTTGTTGTTCATAACTTTATTATCTTTAAACATAAGGTATCCAAAGTGGCTCCCATTATGGACGGCCAACAGGGCAACAAGATTTCTAAATCTTATCACTTACCAAAATTATGATAATTTATTTTCATAATACTTTTTTGCCAACTAGTCAAAACAGAAGAAAAACCTTGGTTTTATAGAATGACCTCATTCCTAGATTCTCATATATACAGTATGTACTCTCACAAATTCATAGTCACATTTTTCCTTCAAACCCATCCACCCATTTGGAAGCACAGTCAGCCCCCCCCCCCCCCCCACTGTCTGTGTGTGTAAACACTTACCTGACCAAAGCAGAGGAGCAGTCTCTCATTTCTCTCTCCCTGGCCTAGCCATGAAAACATGTCTTTAAATGTCTCTGACACAAACATAATGCAGGTTTGGATGGCAATAATGATCCCTGATAAAATAATGATAACCCCATGAGGTCTTGGTAAAGCGGTGCAGGCTAACCGGAGGAGCATTGATGTTCTTTGAATGCAGGAGAACGTCCATCTCTGGTAACTGGAAGGCGAACACAGGCTCTGCCATGCTGGAACAGATCGCCATGACGGACAGGTGAGCTCCCTCAGAGGTACACAGGCAAAACTATTTCCTGTTTGGAAAATGTACTCAAACCTTTAAAGAGGTCTCTGTTTTTGCTAAATCTCACATTCATAATTTTAACATACTGAAACATCTTTTGTACAAACAATTTAACCATCCTATAAATCCTTTAGTTTTAGATTTAGTATTATGGTTCAAGTGTATTTGTAACAGTTACTGTAGCTGCCCTTCATAATATCTCCAGACATTATGGGGTGTTTGGATGTGGGTGTATCAGTGAGTGGTGTCCCTGTGTTCAGATACCGGCTGTGGGTGGACTCTTGCTCCGAGATGTTTGGGGGTCTAGACATCTGCGCAGTGAAGGCCGTCCACGGGAAGGACGGCAACGACTATATCATCGAGGTCAGTTTGTTTTCAGAATAACCCCTGGTTTCAGTTTAAGATTGCACGGTGGAAAATTACAGCGCTTTTATCAAAACATGACATGCAGCATTCCGTACATTTGCAACCTTCTTGGCAGTTCACCAGCTCGACCTTCATCTGTGCAGATCTCAGTCAGATCACCTTGGATTCAGCCTCCTTTCCTGCTAATAATATTTGTCATATCATAGTGAAAGTCAACAGGGAAGGGTGTAGCCAGACTTGAAGGCACATGATCATCAGAGCCTTGAAAGAATGCTCAGTGTAGACCAAACACAGGCGGAGAATGAAAATATCAGTCAGTGACTCACTAACACTGCCTGTTTATGAAGAGTCCATGTGAAGACTGCTCTCTACGTGCAGTTTGTAGACAAACTCTGTAAATGGCTGCTGTGTGACCTGACACCACTGGTTTAGTAAGTAGTGACTTCCGGTTTGGGTTTTCCTTCTCCAATGGGATCAACATTGGGTGGTAACACTTCCTGTGTTATGGTCTGCTCCCAGTCAGGCCACCTGCTGGATCACATCATGTACCATTACAGTGCCTATAGAAATCATCATACCCCTTTGAAAGAGTAACTTTATTTGTCGTACAGCCTGAAATCAAAACCCATTAAAACAAATACTTTTTCCAGCTTTATTTACACATTTTGCCTTACAACATCAAACTAATGAAAAATAAAAGGCAACAGTTCTGAAAATGTATTAAAACAAACTAGAATAACAGGGTTGCAAAAGTCAGTCCCCTGATTTAATACTTTGTTACAGCCATTAATCTATTTGGATATGTCTCTACTAGCTTTGCACACCTCCATTGGGGTTCTTCCTTGCAGAATCCCCAAGAAACAGCTGGTTTTATTCTGAAGTAATCAAAATCACTTCACCTGATGTCAGGTGGGGGGCAGTTAGCCTGGTGTTTGATCTGGAAATTGATTGGTTGCACCTGAGCAATTTTATAATGGTAAACTCTAAGGGGCTGATCACTTAACCAAACCAGGTATTTCACAAATTCATTTTTAATAAATGTCCTGAATTTTTTTTAATGCTATTTTCACTTTGATGGTGAGGGGTATAATGTGTAAATACAGCTCCAAAAAAACTGATTTAATTTATTTTAAATTTCCAGTCTGTAATGTGAGGAAACAGGCCGGTGAGGGACTTCTGGTGTGCCCTTCTTCAGCTGGAGACCATGACATCACAGCTCTCTGATCCAAACGCTGGGGTAGGTCAGCACCGAGAGAATTTGCTTCTTTATTTAAACTCAATGTCAGGAACTATCTCCCAGCTCCTCAGACCCTGGTCTTAGATTGGCACTGCTTGGATGGAGAAACTGGTGACAGTCACGTAACAATGTTCTGCGTCCACAACTCTTCCTCCTCCTCATCTGCCTCTCCCTAACCCTTCAGCATGATGGAATTTAATTAACAAGCAAGGAAGAGCTGCCGGTCCATCACAGTGGGAATCTGTTTTTTGTTCCAGACAAAGACATCAGCCATGACACTTCTCTCTAATGAAAAGTAATGAGCTGCTCAGGGGCCCTTCATTAACAGTTTACTATTAACATGAAGCAGCTCCCTGGCCCTTCACTGGAACATGTTCCCACAATACAGACATGAGATCCCTCAACACGACACAATATGACAAGTAACATGACAATTGAAAATCAACATGACATGAAATGATATGATGCAACACAACTGATATATAATAATAATTATAATTCATTACCTTTTTTATCTAGTTTTATTACATGGTTTGGTTGAAAACTCAATTCTGTTTGGTCACTTTGGACATTTCAGAGGTTGTTAATACTCGATAACAAACCGTTGCTAAGCAAAATAATGGCCATTGATAAGTAGGATCAAGGGAGAGAAAGGGAAAGAGCGCTGGACGTCATGCCATCATAATGCGTGGTAAAAATGTAGATAAATTCACTTCAAATAAGCTAACCCATTACAAGGTCTGGTGCATTAGTCTGAACAGGTTCAAATGAGATTTGACATTAAGAGATTTTACAACAGAATTTACAGTCAAGAAGTCTTGATTCTCTACATGTTTAAGCACACTAAGTTATATTATATACTTACTAAAGTTATTTTAAATATAAATAATACAGTCTCAAAATACACGAGCACAGGTAAGAGTCCTGCATTTAAAATGGTAATAGTACAAAAGTATTATTAGCTAAATCAAATGATGTGTTCATTAAGAACAATGGATCCTTTTGAAATGTTGTATTTATATGCTAGAGCCAATTTCAGATACTTTGTATACTACTAGGTAGATAAGTAGTAAAGGGCTGAACCACTTCATATACACATATTCTCATGACAAAGGTATAAATGTTGTTGAGTAGAAAGTACACGATTACCATGAAGTGGAATAAATGATGCAGCGGGGCACTGTGCAGCTCAGTAAAAGTGCACAACAACACCTCTATGCTCCGCGCTGAGAGGCTGGCCGCTGCAGTCCTCTGCTGGAGGACTCTGTGTCCTTATAAATGAGCAGGGTGGATCCCACCGCACGCCCTTTGAAGTGGCTCTGCTCCGTCCCTGTGGTGGTGACTCAACGGGCCAAACACCGGGCCACGCCCCGCCTCACCACCGAAGCCTGGCCCAGAGGCTGCTCACAGGGAAGGGTGGGCTTTAAGGGTTCTCTGCTATGGGTAGTGGTTCTGTTTAGAACAGTGTGAACCTTCATCACACACTCTTCTGAAAAACAGCAGGAAGAAAGTAAGAAACCATGGCACATTGAAACACAGTTTGAGATGACTCTGGAGTCTTTCTTGCATGCAGGAAGGGTTTCACTGAAGGAGACCTGCTCATTGATGGTTTGGCTAGCTCTTACCAAAATCGAGGTCATCTTTTATTGGACGGCACTTGTATATACTTCGCAGAGTATATAAAAAAACATGCAATTTGACATACTGTAGCAGAGGATAAGAACATATTGTGAAATTCAATCAGACCTTAAGTAGTTCTATGATCCTTCGCTTAACCACGCCCTCAATTACTGTTATTCTCACTCTCAGTTTTACCATCAAAAATCTGTCAATTTAAATATATGTACACATTTAAATAGTGTGACATTAGCAACATAAGATCCCTGGCTCTACAATGTATTATTGTACATCATTAGGTCCCATGAAATGAATCTAACAAAACATCACATCACATGATTTGTGTGTTTGCTGCTATTTACATGTTATCAGCAGATTGAAGGAGCATGCACCATTGGTTGTAACTTCTATTCAAAGAATAGCGTGCAACTTCAAAACATAACATTATGAACACAAACAACAGATTGGTTAAAGCAACCAAACTACTTGGGCTTTTTTAAAGAAAACGTTTGGGTTAAAATAACTTGATTTGTTGTTTATGTGTTGAAGGTAACATAAACACAAAGACAAGAACACAATATTGCTTTCATAATCTCCATCACCTCTGACCTCCACCCACTATGGAGTTTGACTATTTCTATGCTATGTCACCTGAATACAGTAAGAAAAGGTTGGTGTCCTCTTCTTGTATTCTTTCTTTTAGTGATCATGAGGGTGAATAGATCATTAAAGCTACTTGATTGTAGCAGGCTCCTTCTGACACTATGAGGCCACTGATCAAGCCCATTTAACAGGCTGATAACATTCAAACCAGTTGGATTTTATGTTTCCAAACCAGTTTGATGTGAATTGATCTTGAGGGACGAACTCATTGAATTGTTGTCCCTAATAAACAAGAACTTTAAAAGAAAATGGGAATACCTTTCAGAGTGCAGAGTGTTGTGGTCCCTGCAGGCGGTCAGAAGCACATGCAGTGTTCTGCTCTGTGAACACTGTGTATGCCCGTCTCTGTGTTTACAGCCTGTGGGCGAGGAGCAGCAGCTCCTCCACCCTGGGCCTCTGTGACCCAGCCAGCAGCCCCCCCCCCTCTCTGCTGTTTGTTTTGGTCCTGGGGAGGCAGGTCTCTGGAGCCCATGTGCTCTGTGGTTCTGCAGAACACGTGTGTGTGTGAGCTCAAGTGGTGGGATTTTTCTCTTTGAGGTTAATTATTAGTGTATGGCGATGGATGTGGTCTGGGCTTCCAGATCTCACCCCGGGCAATATCATATTTACAGATGGAGTCACTTTTCATCTGCGGTTTTACCCATCAGAGGATGGCACAGAGAAACAGCTGTCAGTTTAAGAGGTATGATTTGTGTGTTTCAGTATACCATGTAATGTATCTACTGTCAATCAAGCTATACCTCATGTCCAGCTGCACATGCACAGTAAACAATTATAGTTCTCCTTTTACTTTGATACGGTATCCGAGGATTTAAAACATTTCAAGTTGTTATCCTATTCTACCCTGTTTGTGTCAGTGTTGTGTCCATCTGCATGCTCTCAGACCTCTCATTAAAAGCTGCCCTACAGTGTTTGTTCCATCTCTATTGGAGGATTTAGGAGGACAGATCCAGGACAAGGGGCTTTCTGAGCTGTATTACAGTGCATGGGAACAAACAGAGGAGTCAGTGTCATGCTCAGTGCATCCGGCACTAAATGATATTAAAGGCCAGTAGAGTGTTTCATATTGTCTAACCTCAACAATGGCAAATGACTGTGGGGAGTATTGTTGTGTATGTGATCTGTGTAATATGACTCATCATTGCTGGCAGAGCACCACATCTACAGCAAATCTTCACATAACAGATCTGATACTGCCCTCTGGTGGACAGTAATGGAGTTTCACTTTTAACATAGAGAGCATCCAGGACCTTGATTGGCTGTTTTTGTGTGTGTGCAGGTGATGGACAGCTCCATGCCTCTGATTGGTGAACACGTGGAGGAGGACAGACAGCTGATCACAGAGCTGGTCCTCAACAAGATGGCCGAGTTGCTGCTGGGGGTCTCCACTCCTCAGCCCTCTGCTGTCAAGGTACATCAGAACATACATCACACCAGCTCACTTCAGCTGAAAGGAAACAGGAAATAAAAAACGCTTTTCAGACCCCTGGATATTTTTATACAGCCCTCATTTCCAGTTGAACTCCCTCCTGCATTCATGGGGCTACCACTGAGGTGTTTTGTATTTCTTAGTATTGTTTAAACATGGCACCAAAAAAGATAGTAAAAAGAAAATAGGTAGCAGGGCCAGAAACACCCTTACAAATGACTGCAAATGGCAGCTTTATCAGATCAACTACCTGGCCTTGCCCTCAGTTACAGAAGACGATTAAGACCACATATGAAGAAAAAAGTTAATTTTATCCTAGGTCTGAGATTAAAGTCAGAATTTTTAAGAAAAAACGTTCTAACTGATTTCTCAAAATGTTGATATTGTTCACAGAATTGTGACTTTAATATTTGGTCTGATCTAAAAAGGCCCTAATCCTCTTCCTTAGTAAGTAAAACTGTAAAAGAAAAAAAAGCTAATCTGGGGTTAGTTTACATCGTCAATGACAACCGTACATAAGGTAAGAGTGTTTTTTTACTAATTCAAGTTAAGTACAGCAGTGGAGTGTATTTCAATGTGATCACCTACGGCATTATAATCATTGAAGTGTGTTCCGGTTTTGAAGTAGCATTCATGTTCACAATGAAAAATATGATTGAACCGCTTCTACCTCGCTAATGTTTCTGCTTTTACTTAACTGTGACCATATCTTATAAATAATGCTACAATTGAAAAGGCTACTCACACCAAGAAATGTAACTCTTCAAGATGTTGTTTTGCATTTGTACATATTGTTTTAAGAGTGTAGTGTTTGTGTGAAGCAGAATGACAGGAACATTACCATTAACTAGAACATTTTAACCCGCATCCACTGTACTGATACCCCTATATCATTCTTCATCCACAGACCACTCAGCCCAGACGAGGTAGGAGATGTATCTATTTTGTTTATTACAGCAACAGAGTTCTGTCTACAGCAGTGTTAGTAAAAGTCCAACCAGTCTACATGTAAATGTTGTGTTTTCACTGCAGGGGGACAACGATCTGCTTCCGCTTCTCCATCTCAGTCGGCCCAGGGCTCCCCTCAGAGAGCCCGCTCAGCCTCCACCTCCCCCAGCCAGGCCTTCCAGCCCGGGCCCATCCCTGCCGCCTCCGGGCCCGGAGCTCAGAAACAGTCCCCCCAGCTGAAGTACGTCCCTCACAGCACACCAGCGTGATCCATGATAGCAGAAGTATAACATTTCATTGACTGTTTATTTTAACCACTGCAGCAAATCCCAGTCGCTGACCAACACCTTCACAGAGACGTTACGAGGAAGCCTGACCGACGACGAGGCCAAGGCCGAGACCATCCGCAGCCTCCGACAGTCCTTCGCCAGCCTCTTCTCCGACTGAAACCCCCCTAGAAGCTTCCTCTTTCTGTCTGTGGTCAGGTTTGGGAAAAAAGCCCCACTGGTTCATCTCTAATGGAGTATCCCTGCTCCACATAGCTCAGCTTCCTTTTCTCTCCTTCTCAATATTGTGACGTTTAACACCTGGTGCAACCCGCTGTCGTCAGATCAGTCATTCATCTATCACTAGAAAGGCCAACAGGTACTGGGGGGGACCACAAAGGCTAAGAATCCACATCCACCACAGTGCAGAATCAAACTCATGATGATTATGTCTGTTTTATCTCTGCTGTAATGCCAGTTATGAACATATACAGAAATAGATCAATATAAACATCAGTCCTCCTTATACCCATAATCCTTTCTGTTTTCATACAACAGCACTGATGTGAATGCCTCCTAGGGTTAGGACAGCAGTCAGCTGATGGCTTATCCTTTCTAGTGGTAAATAATAATTGTAAATAATCATAATCTAGCTCATAATGCTTGGTATTTATAGTCGTTATTCTACATTCTGTTTGTCCAACCAGTGAAACTGTTCTTTATTGCTCATGTTTTATCGGTTTGAATATATATTTACGAAATGAAATGAATTCTAACTACTTTAATTGACTCACAGCTTCCACACTGTTTGCGGATGTATACGGCAATATTCTTATCTGAAGCTGTTCCGGTTAACTCATGAAAAACTGAATCCTCACGGTTCACCAGCGTTTTTGAGCATCTTGCAAGCAGCCACATTTCAGAAATCCACGTGCTGTAGACACACATTGGCTTACGTTGTGACTCCACATTACCAAAGTGCTTTTGAAAAAAAATAAAGAAAATCCCCCATGCACTGGGTCCAGAAAACAGTCCCACAGCGCAGCATCCTTTGAGCTTGTGATTTCACGAGGTGCAAAACGCTGACCTGCCTTCCAGCCGCCGTCTTCCACCACAGCGCAGACCCCCACCCCAGCTGCTCCTCTTTCTCCAAATGCTTTGTGTAATGTCTTGTGCTTTGTGAATAGCAGCGTGGTGTATTTTCTGCAGGGGATTTGGAACATAACTACTGCTGTGTGTTTGAAGGCGAACTGTGAGGATGTGATATTTTGAGACTTTTAATGTGCTTACATTTCCACTGAGACGGAAAATGTTTTAGTTGTGTAACATTCCATCTTATATCTATATTACCTTTTATTCTCTACATTCGATAATAATTTATCATCATTTTTGTGTTTTTTGTCAAATGGTGTGTATGCATCCAAAGCAGACATCTTCCTCCACCCTGTGTCGCATCAGCATGTAAATGTTCTGTGAATGTCATACTGTATGTAGAATCTAATTCATATTTTCAGAAACCAACACAAGATAATGATCTCAAGTACTCTATAAAGACAGCAACAGCATGGAAACACTTTATGTTATCTGTGATGCAAACCCTACTGTAATTTAGTGCAAATTATAGGAAAATACTATGTATTTATATGGCTTAGGTATCCAAAACAGGAAATTGACCATCTAAAGTATAAGCAGTTTTGAATTTCAGTGTCCTTTAACTGCTTTAAAGATGGGATGTGCAAACAATATAGTGTAGACTTGATAGAAAATGTTTCACCATTTTGATTTAGATTAAAAATAGTACTATAGTACCATCTATACATTCTCAATATCCCTTATAATTAGCACTAAATCATGTCTTTTACAAGGTATGTGAACTTTTTTCTTCTTCAAGGATGTCATTAGAAAGCCGACGTAAAAAAAAGTACTTCCTTGTTACATCCAATGTGTAACAGTTTGATGTTTACAGGAGACTGGCGGTATATTTGGCTTTCCATGCAGAGAACAATCACAATCTGATAATGTTTCAATTATTCTGCGTGATCTGTGCTACAGACATATAAGATATGTTTCCCTGAACAATCCATATTGCTTTATATTTTTTGTCTAAATATCCCAAACACGAATAATACCTGTGAGCAGTGCCCAGCAGTTTAAATTGGGTTTTTGTTGATCATTTCAAAGGATCAATATGATAACAGTAATTCAAATGAAATAATGATAATAGTACGTATGACATCAATTCCCTTTGGTTTAGGGTACATTTTATTAAAATGCATGAAGATGTATAGTGATTGTGTGTGTGTGTGTGTGTGTGTGTGTGTGTGTGTGTGTGTGTGTGTGTGTGTGTGTGTGTGTGTGTGTGTGTGTGTGTGTGTGTGTGTGTGTGTGTGTGTGTGTGTGTGTGGGAGCATGTGTGTGTGTGGGAGCATGTGTGTGTGTGGGAGCATGTGTGTGTGTGTGTGGGAGCATGTGTGTGTGTGTGTGGGAGCATGTGTGTGTGTGTGTGTGTGTGTGTGTGGGAGCATGTGTGTGGGAGCATGTGTGTTTGTGTGTGTGTAAGTGTGTTAAATTCAAGAAGTAAATTGGCCATAATGATGAATTGAATACTACCACAAAATGAAACTGCCCATTACTGCAATAATTTAGCTCATAATATGTTTTCCGCAGTTTTGATTTAAAGCTATGAAGTGTCACACTAAAGAAAAGCTGTTCTGTTTCCAAGCTTTTATTTGCTGTTTTGTCAGTCTCACTCGCATTGAGCTTAAGGGGCATTTGAGTGTTAGCTTAACAAAACACACACTACAGTGATTCTTAGCAACAACTGACAAAGCAATGATAGGGACTGTAGTTTTACTCCTACAACAAGTTGCTTTGGAGGGGAAATAATCTAGTGGATGGAGCCACAGAATCACAGTTGTTGACCAGGTGATTGACCATCTGCTAAGCCCCACCCTCTTAGAAACCGTTGCTACCTGTCAGCTCCTGCCTTGTAAATATGCTGTTTACAATGATAAAAGTAAAAATTGTACACCATTTATATTGATTTATGGGTCCTTCAGTAAGCCTAAGCTTTTCAATGAAATTATATTTCATGGCTGAATAAGCTAGCATTAGCTCGATTAGCTCAGAATGCCGTCTCGATCACCACTGTCATTAAACCATTTTAGCGGACAAATTTCCCTATAATCTACCCACTTGCGACAATTCAAGGACTCACTGAATATTAACGTATTAAAGCATACAGAGCCAAACGAAGAGTGTAACTCCGTTTGGCTTATTTTCTCGAACAGTGTAGCATTAAAGCATGAGGGAGTTATCAAGTTAGCTAGCTAGTGAGCAACTTGCTAGTTAGCTAGAGGACATGCTATGTTGCTTTACTTAGAGAAGATCAACGCATTGCTTAATTGCCCCTTATTTATTTTGGGTTGTGTGTTGTTTTTTTAGGAATGTAAAAAAAAGACACCACAATCGAAGTTTTGCAGGCCTAAGCTAAGATTTGCAAATGCTGTTTAGCGGAGGGGTTTAGTAAATGATCGATTAGCCTGCTCACCTTCCAAAAAATTGAAGTATGAGCTAACCACACTGAATCTAATTCTGCTCGCTTCATTGATCTGATCTGCAGTTAGCTTGTGTCCTTTTATTATCACTTTTGCAAACGTTTCATCACCTTTGGCAATGTGTCAAAATGGACCAAATGAGCATTTCATTGTGAGACTACTTGAAGGTTTAAATTATACTGTTTTTTTTATTGTAAAGATGCCTACAACTTAGTTTGTAATACTGCAGTGTTATAAGCCATAACCTAACCACAAGGATTTACTATCCCTGCCACGCAATAATGGCTGTGATGTAACTGATAACTGATGTGTTAACCTGAATCACTGAGTCTGGTAACTCTGAGTCCATCAGGAGACCTTCCTTGACCCGCAGAGGCAGTTACTGTCTGATTTCAGATTAAAATCAAGAGAAATCACATCACATAGTTTAAATGTGTGCTTCTAGAACTTCTGTCGGATGAAAGAAAATTTTGATGTCACTTTTCTGAGTTTTGTTGGGTTTAAAAATGCAGTTTAGGATCCAGTAAATGCCATACCCATCTATAGAGTGCCACAGTGACGTGTCCTAAAACCCGGAAGGAAGCTGCGCATGGGTTCCTTCGACAAAAAAGCAATGCAATATCATAAATCTATCGATCATAAATCTATCGATTCGATTTATGATTAGAAAATGATAAAAGTAGGGTAGACATGTGGAGATTATCCGACTGAACAAAACGTGATCCGTCTCTTAAATGTGTGTCAACCACAGACCTTATTTCGAGCTATTTTCCAAAATCCTATGGAGAAATTGCATTGCTTTTTTGTCGAAGGAACCCATGCGCAGCTTACTTCCGGGTTTTAGGACGCGTCACTGTGGCACTCTATTGGGTCAGATTCTAATCAATGACTATACGTCTATTTACATTTTCCACATGTTCTATTATATTTATTAATCGGCAGATAAATGTTCTCATTAAAGGTCCCATGTCATGCTTTTCCGGTTATTACCCGTCCCCTTGTGTGTTATGTAGCTTTTTCTGCATGTAAACGGTCTGCAGAGTCACAAACCCTCAAAGTACACCCTGTAGCGAGTAAAACTCTAACACAGAAAAGACCTGTCTATGCTGCCCCAGAACGCCTCGTTGGAGATTTCTCTTTTTCCATTGTTTTCTTCCTGGGTACAGTGACGTGCCCATACCCAAATGGACCCATTGGTCCAAATGGACCAATCCGTGGAGCCGTTACGTTACTTCCTCACACACACACACTCAATCTTTTCTCAGCTGCAGCTCCGCCGATTTCTCCTCCCTGAGACGGCGGGACGCGGCGAGGCTGTGAGTCGGTGTGTGAGCACACACACAAACTCCCAGCCAGGCTGCGGGTGTGTGTGTGTGTTCGGGCTGGGTTTCGGCTGTGTCTTGCTGTCTCGCAGACGGCCACTGGGCTCATAGGGAGGGGGGGGCAGGAGCTCCAACAAGGCGTGTAGGACAGAGTGAATACACATACTTTACAGAGATGCTGTATGAGAAACCAATGTGATTTTGGAAAATTGCACAATATAAATCAATTTTAGTATACCTCAACAATGGAATTATGATCAGTAGAAATGGCCATGACATGGGACCTTTAAGCCAAAATATTTTCACAAGCCTTATACTTTTTATGTGACTCATTCCAACTGAGATGTAAAGTTGGCTAGTAACTACCTCAAGTTCAGCAGTGCTCAGCAGAAACGGACTAGTAAGTGGTAGTACTGGAAAAGATTTTGTGAAATGAGAACTCTATAGTATGGCTGAAAAAGGGGATTAGAAATAGCCCTGTCAGACTGTAGGTAAACTGCAGTGTAATGTCTGTGACATCAACCTAATTAGGATCTAGACAGCATTCTACCCATTGCACTCATGTGTCTATGAAAATAACTGGACTATAAGAACCCATTTTTTTTAAATAAGGGATATTTAAATGTTCATATCGTGAAGTAAATAAAAAAATAAATATATCCGCTGACTCGCAGATATTTCTTTGCCAATGTTAATCTTTTAGGAAAGTATTTAAGGGTCTCACTGGCATCACGTGACGCAGCTAAAATGTCTTGGTTTAGCTAATACGAAAATTAGCTTAAAGCCTCGCACTTTTCTGGGGGCTTTGTACTCATTGATGCAAAGGGGACAAATATCCCAAAGGTCATTTGTTTGACCACATTAACACGAGCCAGTTGTTATTACATTTCCAAGCAATTAGGATTCGCCACATTTTTTCTTTTCAGTTTTGTTTAACTCCAGGTTAAGCTTATGTATTAAAGCTGCCATTTGTAGTCATTATTTTTAGCAATTGGGGCCCAGTACACATTTGTGCCCAGGGCCCTCCAGCAGGTTTATCTGGCCCTGGTACTTTCATCTTTGGTGACATGTGGTACGCATAAGAGGGCCATGTTTAGAAGAAAACTATCCATTCAGAAGATGACATTTATTTAAAATGGGTTTCTTTTCTTATTTTATCTTTTACATGACTGGCAGATTTCCCTGCCTTACAGCAACCACGCTTCCTCTCTGAAAACTCATACCTTCCTAATTTATCTTTAAAAGGCTGTTGTTGATGTCACAGATGCTGCATCCATTGTCAGTGTGCTCATTTCACCCAAAATCTTTGAGACAGAGTTGCATCACTTCACCCCATCTTTTCATTTCACTCATGATTTCAGTTAAATTGCACGTATAATATGGAGAAAATGCAATACTCTGTTTTAAAATACTTTTCTCAGATAATATGTGTTTGAGTCACAGGCTCAACTGTGTTTTGAACTAATAAATAACCTGAATTGAATATGCAGCAACAGAGACTTGCCATTAAGCTAATACCGCAAGGATAACCAAGTCCACTTCAAATGTGGCATTTGTAAAGAGATATAATGTCTTTGCTCTGGTTTATTTGCCGATGCTTCAGTCCACTGTGTCCCTTCCTCTCTGGTGAATGGTGGGTGGTATTGTTTGGTATTTAAGTGTTTTATTGTCCTGTATATCTGTGTAAATGTGGCATGAAAACCAACCCCTCCTTTGTGCCTCAGGTGTGTACATTTGGTCGTCATGTGATTTTAATGTCTGGCTGCATAATTGTGAGACGGGTGAAGCATCTCATGTGTTACTGTAATTTATAAATATAAAGATAATTTTGTTTTCTGTATTTCTGTTCTTTTGTCTGAAAATCAAGAATTCTGTTATTAAAGGTAACAACTTTTATTACACCTGTGGTGCATTCCAATTTCTGTCAGTCATCCACAGCGATCCATGACAGGATTTGAACGTTTTCTCCTTTTATGGTAATTCTAACAGATGCTCTGGCTCTTAGTCTACTTTTAAAAAGTCCTGTTTGAATCACGCAACTTTCAGAATATGTGGTGATAATCTCAAAATCTCTTCATCTTGGAAACGAGCGTATTTCATTCCTGCTGGCATGAAGCTTGGGGTGTTAAAAGCAGACTGGCAGCACGAGGCCACGGGGGGAGGAAACCTGCCGCCTTTAGTGTGCTGCCCATTCAACGTCAAGCTTTCAAAGGAAGTGTGTTAGGTACTCATGTAACAGAGGTAATATGAAACATATTCAGACGGAGTATGTCACTGCATGCACACATTATTACTTTTCAAACAATGGCATCAGCACATAGATATT